AAAAACAAAAGTAGAATGGTTGATAATCAATGATCTAATTTTCTATCTTAAAAACACAGAAGAACATAAAATTAAAGTGAAGTAGAAGGAAATAACAAAGAACAGAAATCAATGAAATGAAAAGCAGACATACAACAGAGGAAATAAAGCCAAAAGTTGCTTCTTTCTAAAGAATGACAAAATTGATAAATCCCTAGCAAAACTGATCAAGACAAAAAGAGAGAAAATACAAATTAGCAATATCAAGAATGAAAGGGGACATCATTACAGATCCCATGGACAGTGAAAGAATCACGAGATTATTATGTTATATATGCTAGTACATCTGGATGACAATTTAGATGAAATGGACAAATTTCATAAAAAAACAGATTTAACAAAACTGACCCAAAATGAATAAGAAAATCTGAATATCTTTTTATCTACTTAAAGAAATTAAATTCATCATAGGGGCCCCTGGGTGGCTCAGTTGTTTGGGCATCTGCCTTCAGCTCAGGTCATTATCCCAGAGTCCTGGAATCAAGCCCTGAGTCAAGCTCCCTGCTCAGTGGGGAGCCTGCTTCTCCTTCTCCCTCTACCCCTCCACCCCTGCTTGTGCTCTCCCTCCCTCTCTCTCTCTCTCCCATTCTGCTCTCTCTCAAATAAATAAATAAAATCTTTAAAAAATAATAAATTCTTCATTTAAATTCTTCCCATGAGAAAAACTTCAAACACATATGACGTCACTACCAAACACTAAATAAAGCAAAACAACAGCTCACTTTGCAGCAACCTTTTCAGAGAACAGAAGAGGGAACAACTTCCCAACTTATTTTAGAAATCATCATAATCCTAGGGGCACCTGGGTGGCTCTGTTGGTTAAGTATCTGACTCTTGGTTTGGGCTCAGGTCATGATCTCAGGGTCGTGAGATCAAGCCCCATGTTGGACTCTGCTCTCAGCGTGGAGTCTGCTTGAGACTCTCTCTCTCTCTCTCCCTGTACCCCTCTCCCATGCTCTCTCTCTCTAAAATAAATAAATAAATCTTAAAAGAAAATCATCACAATCCTGATGTCAATACCTGACAAGAATATTTTAAGAAATGAAAATTATAGGCCAATATATTTCATGTACACAGAGTCAATAACCCTAAATCTGTTTCCTTCACTCCAGGCTCAGTTGTAGGTCATCTCTTCTCACTGTGAAACCTTTCCCTAGGATTCTATCCACACACATGGTTTCAAAGACTATACTTAAAACAGATGGCTCACATTTTTCTCTTCAGTCCAGACCCTTTGCATTCACCCCATCCACCTCTATACCTCCACCCTCTCTCACCTGCACAAATAAAATGGCCTCTCCATATCTAGTCTTGCCCTGGTCCCATCCATTCTCGCTACATCACAATCAGGGTGATCTTTTCAAAATGCAAATCTTATCAGTCACTCTACTACTGGAAATCATCCAGTGGCTTCCTTTCCTTTTTTGGATTAAAACAAAACTTTTTTCTATGAGGACCCACCTCACTGTACCCACTCCAATTTCCTTAGCATCATTTCAAACCACTTCCACTTTGGACTCTTGGCTCCAGTCATTCTGTCTCTTATCACATAGCCCATTTTCCTGGCTCACAGTTTTTTTTGGTACATGCTATTCTCTACCCAGACACTCATTCTTCCCCCTCAGACCCTCCTACACCAAATCCAAACTTCCTAGTATATGCTTTCATAGTACCTCTATCCTTTAATTTCATCATCTATCAAAATTACAACTTCACGTTCCATTCATGTAATGATTTATCTACTGACTCTCTAACCCATTGGATTTTAAGCTACCTGATAGCAAGGACCTATTTCTCCTCACCATTCTATCCCCAACAGCAAGGCCTGTACCTAGCCTACAGTAGATGCTCAATAAATTATCTGTTGAATTAACAAATCTTTTCCTGTAATGCAGTTAATTTGCCTTCAGTTAATGTGAAAATTTTTCAATTTCAAAAGTATTTTAAAAGTACAGTAGAAAAAAGGGAAAAAATACAGATATCTTTTATATATAAGATGTGTATCTTATTAGTCAAATGTAAACTAAATGCTCTTTATTTTATCTATTGACTTATTTTTAATAGGTCCATAGAGTTAAGAACTCCAAGTCTCTTCAGGAAACGACAGATGTTGGCGGGGATGCGGAGAAAGGGGAACCCTCCTACACTGTTGGTGGGAATGCAAGCTGGTGCAGCCACTCTGGAAAACTGTATGGAGGTTCCTCAAAAAGTTGAAAATAGAGCTACCATATGATCCAGCAATTGCACTACTGGGTATTTACCCCAAAGATACAAAAGTAGGGATCCGAAAGGGTACGTGCACCCCGATGTTTATAGCAGCAATGTCCACAATAGCCAAACTGTGGAAAGAGCCAAGATGTCCATCGACAGATGAATGGATAAAGAAGAAGTGGTATATATATACAATGGAATATTATGCAGCCATCAAAAGGAATGAGATCTTGCCATTTGCAACGACGTGGATGGAACTGGAGGGTATTATGTTGAGTGAAATAAGTCAAACAGAGAAAGACATGTATCATATGATCTCACTGATATGAGGAATTCTTAATTGCAGGAAACAAACTGAGTGTTGTTGGAGTGGGGGGTGGGGTGGGAGGGATGGGGTGACTGGGTGATAGACACTGAGGAGGGTATGTGCTCTGGTAAGTGCTGTGAATTGTGCAGGACTGTTGAATCTCAGATCTGTACCTCTGAAACAAATAATGCAATATATGTTAAGAAAAAAAAAAAGAAGAAGAAGAAGGTAGCGGGAGGGGAGGAATGAAGCGGGGGAAATCGGAGGGGTGGACGAACCATGAGAGACGATGGACTCTGAAAAACAGGCTGGGGGTTCTAGAGGGGAGGGGGGTGGGAGGATGGGTTGGCCTGGTGGTGGGTACTGAGGAGGGCACGTTTTGCATGGAGCACTGGGTGTTATGCACAAACAATGAATCATGGAACACTTCATCTAGAACTAATGATGTAATGTATGGGGATTAACATAAGAATAAAAAAAAAAAAAAGAACTCCAAGTCTCTCTTCAAATGTCTATAACACATCACAGTTTAGCTGAACTTTTCTTCTTCTTCCTTCCATCACTGCAGAACACAAATAACTAAATGTGGAAAGTGGTAGTAGTTAAACATGTATTTGGTAAAGAAAAGAATCCTTTCGTAATATAGGTTCTAATTCTTCAATGGTTCTATTATAAAAGTTGGAACTCAGCAAATGGAGTTTCTAGAAAGCAAGTGTACCCATAATTGGGGAAGGGGGGAGAAGGAAAGAAAGGAGAAGGGAGAAACGGAGCATTTCTGGCAAGGGGCAACAAGAAAACAAGCTCTCATGCTGCAGTTACTCTCTCCTTCTCCAGTGATATTTCTGCTCCATTTTTCTATGACCCACCTCAAGCCAGATAGGGGCAAAATATTGATCCATATCCACTTGGCATTCCGTTTAAGCAGTAACGATAGGGTGAAACTCTAAAGCCTCCTGGATTGCAGAGATATTTCTTTAAAAGGAATTAAGTTGGTACAATAGTATACATTGTTCCAAAAGTTAATACTAGCTCCAATTTATTCTACTTGCATTCTTTAAAATCAGCTAATTTTCATGACTCAATGTCAGGCAAAAAAAATGCTACAGTAAAAAATGAACAAGGGATTGACTGCTAATAGGTATGGGATTTCATTTCAGGGGATAGACATTTTCAGGAGTTAGATCGTGGTGATGGCTGAACAACATAGTGAATATGCTAAAAACCATTGAAATTAAATTTTTAAATGGTAAATTTTATGTGAATTACATCTCAATTTTTAAAACATGAACAGTTATCATGAGGAGCCTTCAAAGTTAAAACTGTTTTCTCCTCTAACACTCTGAGGATATGAAGAAGTAAGGCATTCATCCTTAATTAGGAGCAAAGAGTTTTTCAAGCTGGCACTTAGGACAAAAAGTACCAAAAATTCTAAGATAATATCTGGAAGTTTTTTCTTACTTTACTCCTTTCCTTAACCACCATGCTTCTTTTTGTCGGGTCTTCTCATTTCACCCGATATTGCTTACTAAAAATCAATGACATTTAAAAATACACAAAGCATCCCAAATCAGGCGAGGGTTTTTCTCCTTCAACAATTTATTTGTCCCAAGCTTGGATTTTCTAGAAACTGCTCATGGATGTGAGAACTGCTGGCTTGTTTTCTTTCAGATCCTCCTTCACCAAGTCAACGGGGTTTTGTTCCAAAATCAAAATACAGCTTTATTAGCTTTTGGAAACTTAGCCGATATAAGGCTCTGATCCTGCCAATTTAAGGGAAGTACTGAAAGCTGAATTGAGGTTCAAGAAACAAGAAACAAACAAACAAAGCAGATCGATTCTCATAACCTGCAATAATCTCTTCCTTATCTACTTCAGCTTTGTGTCAAACGACATCCTCACCTTGCAATCCCGGCTCCAGCCAGTTTATCATTTATCCCATTTTCCCTGCCATTCACAGGGCCTTTACACATGATATTTCCTACCCGACAAGACACTCTCCTCTCCCCTTTATCTAGTTGATTTCCACTCATCTTTCAAATATTCTTGGACCAAGCCAAACTACCGAGGGAGTCTTCTCCGCCTTGCCACCAGGAGTACGTTTAATACACGTGGAAAGTTGTATCTCGGCAGAAGAGGTTCTAGGGCACCCTAGACGTGACTTCACTGTAAAGACCTCTCATGAAGATCTTCGGAAAGCTAGCGGCAGGCTCCCGGACCATCGCACAGGCTTTCTGCGGTGCTTGGAGGAAGGGTTCACGGGCCGGGGTTGGGGTGGGGGGCGCTGGGGCGAGCGGAGACCCGGTGGGTCAGGAGAGGGATGCGGGGTCGCCCGGGCGCCGCTCGCGTCGTTCCCCGCCAGGCTTGCGGGAGGGAGCACCCCAGCGAGCGTCGCTTTCCCCACCTGGACCCCACGCGCCACCCCCGGCACCCCGCGCACACTCACCATCCGCCCGCACGGAGAGGCGCGGCAGACCGAGCAGGAACAGCGCCGCCGCCCAGAGCTGGGCGCGGAGGCCGCGTCCCTCTGCAGCCATGGTCCGGGCGTCCCCGCGCGGCGGGCTCGAGCGCGGGCTCC